TGTGTCTGTGTCTGTGTGTGTGTGGTCTGTGTGGTTGTCTCATCTTGTGTGAGGGAAACGCAGCACCGAGCTCCTTTGACCTGTTGCATCCTCCCAGGCTTTTCAAGTTAAAGCGTTGGATTTCCTGAAATTGTTGAACTGGATGTGAGTGCAGGCGCCCCCTTCCCCTTGTCGCCTTCCCCCACCAGCAGGGTGAGCTTTGCTGCTGGGGAAGAGGAGAGGGATGGGGGAGGTGGGGTGGGGTGGGGGCCGTTGGAGAGAAACCCAAGCACTGAACACGAGACAGGGAAAGTGGGAGGAGAGGGGAAGAGGCCGTGAGACTAGAGAGGAGGGAAACGTGTCACCAGCCCGGCTCTGGGCGCTCCGCGGCCGCCTCGCTTGTGGACTCCGCGCTGAGAGGACTTGAGGCTGGACCGGACCCCACGGAAGGCAGAGCTGGGAGAGAACCGAGGGGGAACCGCCGGGCAGAGCGCGGTGGCGGGAACCCTCCAGGTCTCCGTGTCTCTTGGGTGAGAAAACTTTCTCGGGAAGACCGGAAACTTTTCCCGGTGCGCGCGATCTGGGGAGGCGGCAGGCTGCGGGTGTGCACGACTCGAGTCGACTCACTCCCCGGACCGCAAGGGGGTGAGCGGGGAGCCGTGGGCTCAGCAGTGGGACGGGACTGAGAACAACATCGCCGAGAACACCGGGCACAATCCGGTGGGGAATGGGGAGCGGGGGCTTGGAGAAAGCGTTACGTTTGGGGGGCAACCGGCTGGGGATCCCCGCGAGGTTGAGGATCCTCCGATAGGACGCTAGACTCCCACGACCGGGAGGAGGGAAGCCGCGCCCCGCGTCCCGGACTCAGGGCGGGCGAGGCACCGCCGTGGGGCGGGATGCGGGATGCCGCCGGTCGCGGAACCCAGGCTGAGACTACAGATCGAAAAAGAAAGTTGGCTCGCCTGTCTCTCTCGTTCTCCCTCAGCCTGAGGGGCAAATCTAAAGAGCTGCCTCACTCGGGCGCGGGCGATTCGGCGCCACGAAACAGCCCATCTGTTCCTGCCGTCCCCCTTTCCCGGGGGGGAGGCATGGGAGGAGAGGGCAGGGAAGGCAGCCGATTTGTCCCAGGCGCCGCCTTGCCGGCGGGGATGGGCCGGGGCACGGCCTGCGGGAGACCCGGCCGGGGCCCGCGGCTCTCATCATCCCCTTTCGTCTTCATCTTTCCCGCCCGCCCTCCATTTGGCAAGGCTTCCCCTGCGCGCCTACTGTGCGCGCGGCGCGCTCACTGCACACAGGGGGCGCTCTGGAGCCCCGATCCCGGCGGCTGCGAGCCTCGCTTCCCAGCCCCTCTTCCTAGGGGCGGTCGCCCGGGGTCAGGCCTGGCTGAGTACTTTGTAAACTGTGTTTCAGGAATCCGCTCCGGGGTGACTCCCTGGTTGGCAGTAGGGTTTTCCCCCTGCCCTACCCAGCCCCTGCCCTCGGTCACATGCCGTCGCTTCTTCCTCCGTCGTGCCGGGAGCCCGCGTTTTGTTCGTCAGCAGCAAGGCGGTGAGTATTTATAGATGCCACTGCAATCTTGCGGTATACAAGGTTTCATTTACAGCGATGCGCCCCACGAGAGCGAGGGCTCACGCGCAGCGCGGCACAGCCTCACGTCTGCTGCGGGGACCCGCGTAGAAAAGCTCTGGGCTGGAGTCTGGGCATCTCTGCTGGGGCGGAGTACTGGACCTGTTGCCCAAATGAGACGTGCAAATTGAAATGACCCATGCAAAAGACCAAAGCAGTTAAGGACGCTAACATATTGTTTCCGTCCTCTGCGTCCCACCCCCACCAAAGGGTGCTCGCCGATGAAGGCTCAGAGACTGCCCTTTTTTGACCCCCCCTTTGGTTATCCTGACCACCGTGTGCTGCAGTCTTGACATTTCATTGGCCTAGAAGTTGCAAATGTCACAGTGCTGCACTCTGGTAAATTGTTCTTGCGGTGGAAGGCGCTGCTAATTGACAACACGAAACAGCAAGTGGGTCCGGAGGGGAAATGGAGCTTGCAGAAACTGATGCGGCCACCTTTTATATGTAGCCACTGGTGGGGGTCCTAGTGCAACCGAGAACTGTGCAGCTCTCCTCTGTGGTACCTGGCTGGACTGTCTGGTTGCAAGAGTGAGTCCTAGAATCCCACCAGGGGTGCTGTGCAGAGCGCTTTCAATAGAACGTAACAAAGTAGATAAGGGAGACTGCTTGGTCAATCCACAAAGTTTTCTTTGGTTTTTCTAACTCCAGTCATGGTCCTTTCAGTATTTTATTGATTCGTCTAACAGCCAGAACCATTTATGGTGTAAAAAAAAAAAAAAGCAGCATTACAAATATGCCAGTTTAATTGGCTTATTTCTCAAGGGCTTTGTTTAGACTAGCTTGTTTCTCAAGGAGACCTCATTTCTTTCAGATCCAGAGGGTCATGCATGTATATTTGTTTCGGTGGTGGGATTTCAATAATGGTCTGTGTTTAAACATTACAAAAAAAGTTCCCTTTATT